TAATGTTGCATGCTCAGCACAAAAAAGTTCAAGCAAAAATAATGAACTGCAAAAAAACACCGGAAACCGATCAAACAAATCAGTAATACATCAGCTGTAACTACACAACTCTTCTAATTTTTTTAAGACTTTTATGATAAGGACAACCACTTAAATACCACACAGATGGTTGAAAAAAATTTTGCATCTGTCAAACCAAATTGTAGTTAATAATAAACATTTAGTAACATAATTTATCCCTTCCTGTCTTCCATATTTAACAATGCTATTAAAAGCTGTAGGATCGTTATAATCTTCGTCTTTATCACCATCAGAAACAACATCAGCATTACTATTAATAACGCCGAAACTCATCCAGATAAGTCACATTGACCTCCATTTAGATAAAAATCCAGAAAAGTCTGTGCTACCATCACTGCCATCGTTCTGCATTATTATCGTCAAATGGCTTAACCAAAAAATCAGCGACAACAATATTTAACAACTGTTTTTGGTCGTTGTGTTACCCAATTAATGTATTTTTTTGTAATGGTTAAAAAAGACTCCTTAAATGTGAGTCACTTTTCAACCTTTTTTTTCGTCTCCATTCGCTATTAAAACTATTTTTGAAAACATTTCAAAAACCTTCAAAAACAGTTGGTTCCGATTCACGGAAAAAACCATTACCTAGCTTCCTTTACTTTCATCCACCTGCCCATCCGAACAAAAATAAAAAAACACGAGTCAACATAAATTACTGGACTAAAACATGACAATTACAGTCTCTGATTACTAGTGCACTGACTCGCACTTCTTACTCACACAAAAACGAATCCACTAAGCAAAGTTTGGCAGAAGGAACAAAAGATGACGAACAATAAAAAAACAAGAGAAAAATGAAACCAATAAAAAGCTGAATTTTAGCTTTTTTTACCCAGAAATACAATATCACTAACAAACTCTAATTCCAATAACAAAACAATAACCGGAGAAGTGTTCTTACCACTCTTTTTTTTCTGATATCAAGAGTCACACGCATCATAATATCGGAACATTTGGCACACCGACAAACAACCCGACACTCAGAGACCAACATACAGACAATTGAGTGATGTTTTAAAGAAACAGTACTGTGCACCCAAAAATTCATTACCGTTGTAATTTTAGGCAATTTTTACTATCGATGAAACAGTGTTGATAAAACTGAAAATGATGTATAAATAAAAGGAATAACAATCAGAAATAAACAGTGACATTACAACAATGTTGTCGTCGTCGTTGTCATCGATTAGTTTAACCCAACTAACCGTCCTGTCCCAATTATTCGCCTTCTTTCTACGAATCCACCATTCCCTATCGCCTTGCAAGCATCCATTCGCTTCCCTCTTTCCCTCGGTTGATCCTTTGTCGCCCTTGCCACCTCGGTCTTCTCCATACTCAAACTCCTCCTCCCATCACCTAACATCAATGTCATCACTTTTACCGTTTTCAGCAATTCAAATCTGCCCTCTATGTGAATTTATGTAGGTAAACATAAAATGGAAAAGCACAAAAAATTTCTTTTCTCCCATAATGTAATGGCTCTAAGATCAGTGTAGAGTACAACAAAAAACAAAAAAAAGAACTGGAAGACGAAAACAGCGAAAATGAAGCATCGAGAAAAAACAAAAAAAAAAAGCACCAAAAAAACACAAAAATTATGCCCGCATAGACGATTAAGAATGACTAATCACAGTTCAACAGAAGGTAGTTTAGTTTGCAACGTGTATCATTAAAAAAAGTATATGTATAAGGAAACGAAATAATGAGCTGAAATAAACAAGACCGATACAAAAAGACTGACGAACGCATACATATTTCCAGTGAACATACACATACGCCATACATACGTATAAATGCATCAGCGAACATCAGAAAGAACGATGAAGCGGCCCCCAAAAAACCAAGTGGAAACCATTTTTTCCATTACAAATAAACCAGTTTAACTTTTTTGTTCAACAAAAAAAAAAAAAAAAAAAAAAAAAAAAAAAAAA